AAACAAATTACAATGGAAAACAGAAAAAATAAGCTAATGATACAAAAGCCATTCAATTACTAAATGAAAAAATTTATTAGAAATTACAGATAAAGCATTAGAGGCTGGGGATTTAGCTCAGTGGCACAGCGCCTGGCTGGTAAGCGCGATGTCATGAGTTCGATTCCCGGTACCAGAAAACACACCCAAAAGAACCAAAAAAAAGAAAAAAAAAAAAAAAAAGAATTAATGCCAATATCACACAAATAGCTTAACAGATTTATAAAAGCATTGAAAGACTTGAGAAAGGGATGAAAACAAATAACATAAAAATATGCCTTTTTGCAGGCATTAAAGCAAAATAAAAATGGAAATGTAAAATAAAGGCAAGCTTCAGAGAAGCAGTATCATTTATTCACACTGATGACACTATAAATCAATTTATATAATTCTTAAAAATAAATTTAACAATTCTCTTTTTTTTAAAGGTGGTGTTGTGGACTGAATCCAGGGCTATATATATAATAAGACACACTGTACCACTGAGCTATACCTTCAGCCCACAATTTTCCTTCTTACTTGTTGGAATTTAAAATAATTCCAAAGAATGCAGATTAAATGTATAACTTCTTAAAGTTTATTCTAATATCTTATGGCTTTTTTCCATATCTCTTTAAGTCACCTGGAATACATTTTTGTATAAGAGGCCATAAAAGTAGTTTTATCAAAATGGATAATAAGTTCAATAGACTTCAAATACATTAAATTATTATTTAATTGGTTGTTATGGTTCATATTCCAACATTCTGATTATCTTTTTGGCTATTCCTTTTTTTTTTTTTTGGTACTGGGAATCGAACTCAGCCACTGAGTTGCACTTGCCAGGCAAGTGCTTGAGCCACTGAGCTATATCCCTTTCTGGCTATTCCTAATATAGTACAGCTTAGCATCTAAAGTCTAATTCTCTCATACCTTTCTTTCTCATCATTTTCTTGGCTCTGCTTGGGTATTCATTTGTCCATATTAACTTTCAGATTATTTTTATTGAAGTAAAAAATGAATTTTCATTGAAATGAAACTGAATTTATGTATGTGACTTTTTAAATGATACTTCAAGTACCATTAAATTATCTTCATGATAATATGTTTTTTTTCATTTGTTCACATCTTTTTCTTTACTCTTAGATATAATTTTATATCTTTCTTCCAGCAAACTTGTTGGTAAATTTCTAAGTCTGTTACAGCTTATTGCTTTTGTGAATAGAATAATTTTTTTGCTTTGTTCATTGTAGTTATCATTTCTTCACCTTATATGTTGCTAATTTATTCTTTGTTAACCTCTTATTAATTCTAGTAGTAGTACTGTCTCAGCATTTCTAGTCATCTTTTTGCTCATCATATAATTTTAAGTCTTTTCTACTTTTAATATTTTGGTAATACCTATCTCCAAAAGCTCTAATTATGAACACTTGTTTTTGTTTTTGTTTTTGTTTTTTTACTGCAATTTAGCATTTTATCACTTTAGATGCTGGTACTGGTCTGGGGATTAACAGACACTATATTTAAGCAGTGCCTTTCATTTTTGAGTTTTAATTAGCAACTCTTTAAATGTCTTTTTTGGTATTTACTAATGTGATTGTGTATCTTTTCTTTAATTTGTTTATGTAGTAAACTATGTTAGATTTCTCAAAAATAAAATATCTTTGCCTTATAGGAATAAACCATATTTTAAACATAGGGTATTATTCTTTTGCTATTTTACTGATTCTATTTGATAATGTTTTACAAACACAATTTACAGCTCCCTTTCTTTTTGGTACTGTCAGGCTTTGTATTAGGGTCATACTGACTTTGTAAAATGAATTGATGCAAGTTCCTCTTTTAAATTGTGTGTAATAGTTTAATATAAGCATTACCTGTTCATTAACAGTTATGAAGAGAGTTCACTGGGTGCTATGTTCTCATTTTAAGAGACCCTGCATTAAGATACACCCTTACTGCATATGTTTAAAGAAGTCCTCCAACTTCAGTCAAAACTGAAACCAAAGAAACCAAAGGATAAATAAACTCCTCACTAGGACTTAGAATGAATCTTATCCCAAGACTTTTAAATAATACATCCCAAGTGACTAAAACTAGTTTTGATTGACATAAAGAAGCTTCTTGGAAGACACAGAAAAAACTGGAGTTAAAGCCTGGTCTATTGGTTTATACATGCTAAAACTGAATAAAATCATGCATGTCTATTTATGTCCTAACCCACTTTAAAACAACCTAAAAAGATGTTTTGTTAATCCAATAGCTACGCATTGTGGTGCACCTCTAGTCTCAGCTATAGGCAAGGCTGAGGTGGGAGATTACTTGAGCTCAAGCTCTCTGTATAATTTCTACTTTTAGGAGATTCTAACATTTAGGTTTTTTGGTTAAGCATAGATCAAAACAAGTCACCAATAATTGATAAGAATCATGGAAGTCTCATTTAGTCCTATCAAAGGCATTATTTTAGAAATATGGTTTTTTGTTATTTTTATGAGGAAAATAACACCAAAATGAATACATTCTGCAAAGAACTTCTAGCCTCTCTGAATTTCAAAAGCAACCACTATTACATTAATAGATCAGTTCAGCTGAAAGCCATGAATGAGAAAAGTAGATCTTCAAGTACAAAGCTGTCAGCTGACACACATGTAGAACATATACACTGCAATGTGCCTCACTGGGAAATAACTTAATACTTGTATCAATAATCTATTTTCATTGTGTCAAATTCTTACGTATCGTATCCCGTGATTTCACGACTCTGTAGCAGCAATAAAGTGTTAAAAGGCCCATCAGCATGATGATACACATTCCAGTAGTAAATCCAGCCTATTTAAAAATAAAAATACAGAACAATATATATCATCATGTAAGAATAAATCTATATGCAATTATATCATGTTATCAAAAATCATGATAAAAACCTGACAATGGGAAAACTAAACACCATTCATTTTCTTCTTTTTTTTTTTTTTGGTTTTAGTTTTTCTCCGGTACTGGGAACCGAACTCATGACCTTGCGCTTGCCAGGCAGGTGCTTCGCCGCTGAGCTAAATCCCCAGCCCCACCACTCATTTTCTTTAATTAATTTTATATAGATTTATTATAACACTTAAACTATAAAGAAAAAAAATTCAAATAAAAATATGCTGAAAAATTACATTACCTGTTTTATGCCCCAAGGAATACTTAGTATAGATGTCCCCATCATGGTATTCCAAATCATGAAACTGAAAACAGGGTAACAGCAGTAAAAATAGGGAGCTTGTTCAAAGCTTTTTATTAAGACAAAAGTTAAAATAGTAATTTTCATTCATGTACAGTCTAAATTATGCTCCCCAAGTACTTTTACTCACATGGTCACTAAACTAGTGTTTTTGCCATATCCTTCAGTGTAACTTTTCAGTTTATAAGCAGAACCCAAAGGACTATACACATAGCACTCCTCTGGGGCTGGAACTACATGGTCTGGAGCAATCTGGAGGGGGAAAAAAAAAAACTCTATAAATATGAGAACAAGTAAATGTACAAAACAGGACATTTTCTATACATCATAGTACCTAACTCTAGACACGTTTCTAAATACCACAAAGATACAAACTATGGTCTTGAGACAGGCAGGAATCTTAGACTAGAAAGAGGTGAGTCGTCATAGATGGCAAAGAAGGGAAAAATAAAGAGATGTTTTTCTTTTGTACTAGGATTTGAACTCAGGGGTACCCTAAGACAGAGTTACATACCCAGCCCTTTTGATTTTTTTTTAGACATGGTCTCACTAAGTTGCCCAGACTGGCCTTGAATTGTGATACTCCTGCCTCAGCATCCTGAGTAGCACGGGTTACAGGTACGACCATTCCTGGCCTAAAATACAATAGTGTTTAAAATACTTTGGTAACAGGAAAAAAAAAAAAAAGGTGAACTAAAGTGGCTTAAGGAAATGGCAAAGCAATGATTTTAAAGACAGAAGAACTGGGCATGGTGGTGCATACCTGTAATCCTAGCACTTGGCAGGCTGAGGCAGGAGGACCACTGCAAAGTTTGAGACTAGCTTAGGCAACAAGAGTTCAAAGCCAGCCTAGGATACTTAGCAAGGCTGTGGAAGGAGAAAGGAACCCTTCTACATTGTTGGTAGGAATGTAAACTAGTATAATCACTATGGAGTATGGAGATTCTTCAAAAAACTAACATTAGAAACTCCATTTGACCCAGCTATTCCACTTCTAGGTACCTTCCCCAAACAGTTAAAGACATCATATTACAGTGATACTTGCATATCCATGTATCATATCTATTATGAGCATACCTATTATGAGCACACCTCATAATAGCTAAATCTTAGCAGCTGTCTCTTTGTCCATCAATGGAGGAATGCATGAAGAAAATGTGGTATTTATATACAATAGAGAATTACTCTACCATAAAGAAGAATAAAACTGAATTATCTGTAGGAAAACGGATGCACCTTGAGACCATAATGTTAAGAGAAATAAACGAGACACCCAAGCTTAAATAGTGCATGGTATCTCTTATAGAGAAGGCCGTATGAGAGAGTATCTTTTATATTTACAAATTGGTACTAAGTTCAAGAGAAACATATGAAGCCTCAAACGTCAAAAAATTTGCATTCCTGCTGGAAGACACATAAAGCAATTAGTCAAGGATAGAAGACAGAATAAAAATTAAAAGTGTTTGACTCTGTGGTTGTGTACTATATCACAGCAATGAAAATAATGGGGACAAGAATAGGTAGGGAAGGCTTAAAAATAGAGATGGAGTACCAAGCCTCAGCAGAAAGAGAGGACATGAACTGACACAAAAAGAATATGTTAAGTCCTTTTCTTTTTTATGCACATGAATGGTGATATCTTGTAGGCAAAGAAGGTCTTGCACGCTGGTTATGGTGTGGCTTTGAAAATGATTTTTTCCTAGAGATAAAAAGACATAGAAACAAGTCTAATGCTTTTTCTTTATCCATAATCTTCTTGGATTTGCATTCTACTGTCTGCTGCCATGAGTAAAAAGAGAAAAGGACAGGACCATTCTCTGTTAGGCAGGGAAAACAACTTTACCTAGCAAAGCAAATTCAGAAAAAGTGAAATCAAAAGTTATAAGGGGCAGGATTAGACAAGAACTGGCAATTCTGGCTGTGTTTCCGCAGGGACTACAGAGAAAGAGAAGGCAAGCAAACCTGCTCCATGTACACTTTAGCCAAAGCCCTATGCCCGTTCTGTACTGTCAGTGAAGAGACATGAAGAACAGGAGAACCACACATACAAAGTGGCAAATTCTTGAGACAGAAAAATTTGGCAGTAGCCTAGGGCTGTAGTTTACAAACTTGAATCTTCCTATAAATCACACAGTGATATTGCTAATATGTAGATTTTGCTTCATTAGATCTAAAGTAAGGCATGAAATCCTGCATTTTTACTAAGCTCTCAGTGATGCTGATAATGCTGATCTGTCCAGGCTACACTTCTATTAACAAGGCTCTAAGAGAGGCTGGCAGACAAATAATGTTCTTCCCTTTCTTATTTTAGCATACAAATACTAAGGTAAATGGCAAATTTTTTCAAAAATAAAAACATTTAACTCTATAAATACTTGAAACCAATGGTTTCATACTGTTCTTCCCTAAAAAAAAATCTTTTAGGAGAAATGGTTTTGGGATTTTCAGAAAATGAGTGTGGGTGTGTATGCACATTCATTTAAAAGTTTGTATCAGATTGTTAATTTTAGATCATTTTTTGATTTACTAGCCATCTCCCAGTGTCACTTAACAGAGGGAACTAAACCGCAGCACAATGCTGATCAAATTTCCGGGTAAACAATATAAATGGAGTCCTAGATTTCCCTGGCCAGTATCTCTGAAGTTTGTTTCTAAGAGTACAGTCCCTAAACAGTCTGAACTAGACTGAAATGTGAAATATGAAATATGAAATTCCCAAAGCGCTTAGATAATTCTAAAATGGAACTAAAACTTCACCATGGCTACTGACATAGACACCTAGAAGGGAAAAAAATGAAAAACAAAACTATCATACCAAGAACAATTACAAGTCCTTACTTTGGCCACACAACAACAGGAGACCTCAATGCTTATTTCACACAGCTACTGTTAAGGATTAAATGAGACAGCTATGTTCAAGTGATGCCCAGTCTTTGTCCCTTGGTAAACATCTAATGAAAGTTGATTCCTTTCTCTCTTCTTATTACTAATACTATTTTAAAAATCATAGTTTTTCTCCTAGAATGATCTTATTTTTCTCTAAGCTTTTAAGTTTCTTTTTTTTTTTTTTTCGTCTTTTTGAGACAGGGTCTCGCTATGGAGTTCAGGCTGGCCTTGAGCTCACTTTGTAGCCCAGGCTGGTCTCGAACTTGCAACAATCCTCCTGCCTCAGCCTCCCAAGTGCTGGGACTACAGGCATGCGCCACCACGCCCGGCTGCTAAGTTTCTGAATATCATATATATGATCATTTTATAGGGAACCATATTACTTAAATATTTTTGATTCTAAAATGACAATATAAAAAACCAATAATATAGATTTTAAAAGGTCAAGGATCTACAAATTATAGACCATGGGTCAAACCAGCCCTTAATCTGTTCATTTACAGCCTCTTCCCTAATAATAGTTTTTTTGTGTGTGTGTTTTTAATGGCTATAAGATAAAACAAAGAAGAATTTGTAAAAGTGGTTTGCAAAACCTAAAACTGTAGTATCAGGGCATTTGACCCATTTGTTTAATCTATAAAAGGATAATGCTATTTAGGAAAATACTAAATATATATATATTTTAGTTTCTTACTCCAGTGGAAAATTTCTAAAAACATGTTTTCCTTGTAGCTTCAAATTTGAAAACTCAACAGAAGAAATCAGAATCACATAATTTTATGATTTTAATCTATGATTTAGGCTTACAGTTCAAAAGTTATTCATTTTCTCAGAGCTCCTGGAATTGGGGATAAGCAGAATTTAATTTAAAAAATTTAGGCTCTTAGTCTGGTGTTATGGTACACGCCTGTAATCCCAGCACTCAGGAGGTTTGCGAGTTTGAGACCAGCCTGGGCTACAAAGTGAGTTCAAGGCCAGCCTGAACTGCACATCGAGACCCTGTCTCAAAAAGACAAAAGAAAAAAAAAAATGCAGGCTCTTGACAACAGAGAAATTGCTCAAATCTCTCTATGCCACGCTAAATAAGAATGAACTAGACTGAAATACAGTACATATGTTAATTGCTATCTTTGACTTTGCACAATGCTGTCCTTGGAATATAGTCAGCAAAAAGGTCAATCACTGGGAGTTGCCCTGGTTTATGTTGGTCTCTATTCTTTTCAACTTAACTTTAGATAATGAGTAATGCTTTGCTTCTTACCAGTGCTGTGTCTGCAGGAGTAGAAAGTCGGCTGTAGTAATGGATCCTCTTGTTCAAGGCAGAAGCATGGTCACTAACCCTCTGAATGACATCATTCACATTGACGATGTTTGTGGGTTCTATATAGAAAGGCCTAAAGAAGGGAATATATGCTTGACAAAAAACATTCAGGCAAAAGTTCTGGAAGTCAGCCATTGAAGAAAATAACTTCTTGTCCTCCATTTGAAATGGGATGCACAAAGGCACGGCATTCACTTTTGGTGGGAAAAGAAAATGTCACAAAAGAAGTATTATCCTATAACAGAATAAAATTTTTGTCTCATAATACTTCTACTTAAAATATATTTTTTTAATCTCAAGGAATCTGGCAATAGAGGGGACAACACAAAAAGCTTAAAAAATAATTATTAAAAAGAAATATAGAAAAGGCGAGTATAACATCTATCAGCTTCCAACAATGAAACTTAGAAACAGCTTTGAGTAGTCTCTCTAAAGCTTCTGGCACTACATCAGAGAAATTATAGATAAAAATGTCCATCTACTGAAGAATCTCTCCTCCTTCATTACAGGCCAAAGTTACTTCCTATGATAAAATTCCTATTTCTCAATCATGTTCTCAACCATTTTCCTTGTAGGACTTACCCAAAATAGTATCAAATGGGACATGGGGAAAATAGAACTATTTTCCCTTGTTTTACTTTTCTTGGATCTTGGTAGCATACTCTATTATTATTGTATTATTTACGTGTATGTTTCCTCAGCACTACAGGTTCTGGCTTTTAGTCATAATTTTCAGTCACTAATAACTTCAATTTCGTCCTCTAACTGCAGAATCTGCTTTCTAAGCTTTCAGTAACATACCGTCCAAAATGGAAAGACCAAGCAAAGTGGCAGGGGAAGAATGTATTTCCCTGCTCATAGACTTTTTGATGCCACAAACAGCACTGTGCCCCAGAGTGTATATAATTTACCATTTCACATTATCCATAGAGCAAAATAATGAAAAAAGCCTCTTGATGTATCATTGTTTTCACATTCCTTTCAGACTTAAGTTCTGAAAGAAGCTTAAAATATAGTAAGGTGGAGCTGGGGATATGCGGCATACACCTGCCTGGCAAGGGCAAAGTCCTGAGTTCAATTCCCAGTATCTATCTAATCAATCAGTCAATCTATCTATCTATCTATCTATCTATCTATCTATCATCTATCCATTATCTATCTGATAATCATGTTTACTTTAATCCTGTGAGGAGCACTTGAAAATGCAAGTGACTGAAAATTTAATTTATGGTATTTTTGCAACTAAGTCTATGGTACTGGAGAAAAATGATAGTACAAATGTTGAATTCAGTGTTGTCTTGTTAACACAGAGACTCTTTTTTTTGTTTTGTTTTGTTTTTCTTCCAGTACTAGGAATCGAACTCACGACCTTGTGCTTGCCAGGCAGGCGCTTTGCCGCTCAGCTAAATCCCCAGCCCCAACACAGAGACTCTTAATCCTTTATTATTTTCTCCTCAGCACATCATCTAAATATGGTGAGTGCTATCTATAGAGATCAATTCAATATGGAAATGTGTATTTAATAAATGCATAGAGATCAACATGACATATTATATACACCAAGCACGTTACTGCTGAATGTATTAAATGGTATCAGTAAACTGCAAGGGGATTCAATGAAAACAAATCAGTAAGAGGCTAAGTAATCCCTACTTAAACATCTGGGAGCCTAAGAAAACTATCAATCCTCCCAAACCATTATGGTGCATTTAATTTACATCTCTACTATGACACTTAATGGTATTACAAAGTAATATATAAATACTGATATTTGGGAGAGGGTTTAATTATCTTGGGGTTATATTCTATAGGGCCTTCCCTTACTACTTTGCAAGAAAAGTATCCCACAAAGTCCAAGAATGCCAATATAGGGTGGAGATGGAAGCTAATCATAGGTTACTAAAAAGGTTTAATATGCAAAATATTGATAGAAAGAGACGCAGATATTTTACTTGTAGTTTTTGCTTTGAAAAGTCAATGGTATTAATATTAACCACTAAGTTGGTTTGAAGGCCTGCTGAACAGCAGTCCAGGAAGTGCTAAATTTCTGGGCTCCTGGCCTCTTACAGAAGTGTTAACTGTACCAGTTTAGTTGGCTTGGGTACTCTGGGAGAAGAATGACTCCTAAAGTTTTTCTTTTCCAACGGTTTTCATCAAGATGCTGGGGGCCCTGTTCAAACAAACATTTGGGAATCTTTTCAAAACAGATTCTCTTTAAAAATATACAACTCAGCATATTTTAGCTGAATTATTAGAAACATATGCTTAAAGCTTCATTTTAGAGAACAAAAATATAACAATTCTAAAGTCAACTTTAGTTGGCTCTTAAAACACTTTAAAAATTAATATTATAAAGAGGACAATACTCAAAATAAAAGACTTGAACTTTTTCCTTTTGAACAGTTTTACATGACTGCTACTATCCGTGTTACTTCCCATTTGATATGTAGTTTAGCTGTGATACACTGGAAACAAAGAATTTATATTTGTCTCACCTTGTAAATATCTATGGTCATGCCACAGGAAAAATGCTTTTAGTATTAAGCAAAATCAACAAAATATTTTAAAATATGACTCAAGCCTCATGTGTTAATTTAATATTTATAAACAGAGAAACCTTATTTCTACTAGCACCTTTTTCTAGGTTCCACTCCTTACATTCCTTAAAAATTCTGGCTTTTAAATCTGTCTCCACCCTCATACTGACCAGTTATGCTTCTCTGAAGTTTAAAAACTCCATGACTCTTAAGAAAGCTAATATCCAACATGGAGATCTTGACTGAAAACTGTTCATTTATTCACATCCCTATGAAAGATGAGGCATTCCAATACCTGACAGGTTGGGTAATTTGTTAAAAAAAAATGAAAAGGAAATCAGGTATTAAAAAAAAAAGCCTCATGCAAATAAACATTCAAAATAATGAATCCTCTGTACTTGCTTCTACCTGCTTAGTAAAACATTTTATGTCTGCCAGGCAGCTTTTCAATAAAGATGACAGGAAAGAAGTTAATCAAGCCATTGTACCTAGAAATTCCTTGCTGCTACTAGAAAAATACTGGAAATTTATGACTTATTGACATGCATCTCATTGCCTCTGGTATCTATACAACATCCTCGTTCACAAAAACTGTTCTACACTCCAACTTAAATCATTCGTACCAAATGCCAAGTCTATACAACGTTCTTCTCTATTTGGGCTAGTTAATTTGTATTGGTTCTCAAATTCATTACATAATATTGTGCCAAGTATTAAGCATTGTGCTAAATACTGAACAATGAATACAAAATAGAACCTCAAGGATCATACAGCAATCTGCTGGAAAAGAGGTAAAAAAAAATTTCGATAGAGAAATGAGAAAAGAAGAGGTAAAAGTGCCCGTGTGCAACAATGAGATCAAGAAAGAGCGGAGAAGTTATGTAACGCTAGTGTGTGGGACCACATATAATGGGAAGCTAAACCATATCTGGCAGACCTCTGAGGAAGTTACAGCTGAGCTGAATCACAAAAGATATAAAAGATTTAGTCATTTAGGGTAAAAGGAAAAAAGAAAAGGTATTTCAAAAAACAGAGAGCTCAGGAGTAGAGTGCATGCTTAGTATGCAGAAGGCTCTGGGTTCACTCCCCAGAGCATACAAACACACAGGATGTGGACAAAGTCAGAAAGAGAAAGATGTATTTCTAAGACCAATAAATAGTAGGAAATGTAAAGGCAAAAGAGAAGGTAAACCCAGGCCAATACTTGGAGCATTACAAAAACCAACAAAGGATCCTTAGTCTCAGTTTCCTTTCCTGATTACAGGTCAGATCCCCAACCTCTGAATGTCAGAGTACCCCAGAGTTCAATCCATAAACATTTATCTCTTGTCTATCCATTCGCACTCTCCTCTCTGACGGAGTCCTCTAGTCACATAACCATAATTCCATGCATATACTGATGATACTAAACTATTATCTCCATCCTGAAAGTCTGACTCATACATCAAACTGTTCCCTGTCATACCTCCCTTACCCTGTCTCTTGGACCTCACTGTCTACCACACTAGCCTCCTCACCATTCCTGATACACTATAATCACGCACTTATTTCAGGACCCTTGTGATCAATTTCAGGTAAAAACCATGTTTATATAAATATTTTTATAGTTAACTTTTTTTATTTCTTTCAGTTCATTCCTAAATTGCCTCTTCCTCAAGAAGGACTTGAATACCCTGGACACTGTATCTAAAATTTCAGCACCTATTCTCCACCCTTACCATTTCCTGGGCACTGTTTCTGCATTACATTTTCCCCTTACCTCTATACTATCTAATACATATGGTGTGATCAAAATATAGAGTGAATGTTTGAACTATAAAAATATATTACAGTACAAGACACACTGACACTCCCCCCACCGTTTGAACACAGCCTATCACTCTTGCCACTTTCGGAAGCAGTCCTCTTTATTGAGTGTCTCTATCAGGTATGATTAAACACATGGTGGATGCAGCTGCCAAGTGCCATTAAAGTGAAAGACATAGGGGCTGGGGATTTAGCTCAGCGGCAAAAGCGCCTGCCTGGCAAGCGCAAGGTCGTGAGTTCGGTTCCCGGTACCAGAGAAAAACCAAAAAAAAAAAAAAAACAAAACAAATAAAGTGAAAGACAGTCTCGTGAAAACATTACAATGTGTCCTCGTCCACCTCACTCACCAGTTCTGGCACGGTGTAACTACTGGCTGTTCCTTAAACTCAAAATGACCACAAGAAGTAGTTCTGCATTGATTCAGCCATGACAGCACACCTAAAGGCACTCGTGAAAGAGGACTTCCAGAACTGCTTCAGACAGTGGTAAGAGCATGGGATACTAAGGACACATTCAGTATCTGTGTTTCCCAGGCTGTAGATGAGAGGATTCCTCATAGGGGTGCCCACAGAGGACAACAAGGATCTCCAACTCCTGGATAAGGACCAATACCAGTCTGCACTCTCTTAGAAATGATGCCACACAACAGGCAGTGAGACGCGAGCAAGAGTGCACAGCTTCATCTGTATAACTATTGCTCAAGTTGCTTGAGCTCTGTCAGATCAGCAAG